AACAGGGAGTCATGGGCTCTGAGCGACGAGGAGAGACTGAAGGTGGTTCCGGTTCTGCACGGTCAGGGTAACAAGCTCTACAAGCAGGGGCACTACCAAGAGGCAATGCAAAAGTACAAGGAGGCCATCATCTGCATCAAGAACGTTCAGACCAAGGTAAACAAAACTGAGGTGCCGCTGCAAGAAGAACTGAACCAGAGACAAACGTCGAAACAAGGGGAAGAGAACTGATCTGTGATGAAATGTCAACAGAGATCATCGTCAACACTGCTGCGACCACTGTCTGAAACTTTTATTAATACATGGCTGTGAGGTCAAAAATAAATTATATATATATATATACATATATTTATATAAATATATACATATATTTATATATATGTATATAAGTATATACATATATATAAAACAGGCTCAAAAACTAGGAAGATGGATTTTACAAAATATAAACATTTTATATTTACTGTTTCATTAGCTATTTGGCTGTTAAAAAAAATAAAAGTTTTTATCTACCAAGAACTTTCCCCTGTGTCCTGAAGCGTGAGAATTTTACTCTTGATGTTTCCGGTTCAGGAGAAAGCCTGGGAAGTTCCCTGGATGAAGCTGGAGAAGATGTCCAACACCTTAACCCTGAACTACTGCCAGTGTTTGATTCGCACTGAGGAGTACTACGAGGTCATCGAGCACACCAGTGACATCATCAATCAGCATCCAGGTCTGACATCATCTTTCATGAGTCTTGGACTAACATTATTTCCTGTCACTTGGTGGATTTATAACTGGTGTTGTGCTGCGTGAGCATTAAAACAGCCCCAGTTTACTCTGACCTTAACAAACATAATAAACATATTTACGGAAGCTATAAAATAAAGTCCGTACGGCTACAGAAGTCTGACCTCGTAAAAATGTCTGTTTCTCTGATTTATTACTGACAGGAACAAACTTTATTTAACATTGTTCCAGGGCCATGAAATGCAGTCACTACTGTTTTAATTCACACAGGAAACTGTCTAAAATAAAGATTCATTCATTCATTCATCCTCCAGGGGCCATGAAGGCCTTCTACCTGAGAGGGAAGGCCCACATGGAAGTGTGGAACGAAGCCGAGGCACGGCAGGATTTTGACCGAGTGCTGGACCTTGAACCGGGCATGAAGAAGACCGTGAAGAAGGAACTGGCCATTCTCAACATGCGCATGGAGGAGAAGAACGAGGAGGACAAGAAGAAATACAAGGGCATGTTCTGAGAAGGTTCCTGCAGCTAACGATAGAGAAGAGTCCATCAGATGTTTACATTTGTTATTTAGAGTTGAAATTTAAAAAAAAAAATCCACTTAATTTTTTCTTATTTTTCTTAATTTACTTTTCAGCTTCATTTCTAAATTTAATGATTTTAATGATAAAAAATTTTTTAGAGGGTTTTATATATCTATTTAAGTTTACACATATCCACAGTATGGGGCAAAAAACGTTGTTTTGTTTCTTCTTCTTTTTGTAAAGACACTGTCTCTCCGCAAGAGGGCGCTCGGCGCACAGTTGTGATCATTTTTGTCTCAGCTACTGTTCAAAGAGAAAAAAAAAATCTGAGCAGCATCAGTTCTTCACGAGGAGTCTGGGGGCCTATAAATGTAAACGATCTGACTCATATATGCTGCTCGTCTCCCTGCAGTCTTCTCTATCTGCACGGATTTCAGAGCTTTTGTCACTGAGAAAACACACGGTGCGGCAGACAAAGGCGGACAGAGAAGTACTAGTTTCACATACAAGCAAACATGAACGAATAGATAAAGTAAGTCATCTGAAAACACGGTGGTTTTGCACCACGCTCAGCTCAATTACAACTAAAGAGTCACTGACTGCATTGTTCTCCAGCGCCACCACAGGTCACAGTTGCACTGCAGCCGTCTGTCTGGACCAATGCTAACGCGTCAGTCCAACAATCGAGAAAATCAATGAGTCAGGATTGAAAAATATAGAATAAAACGATGGTGATTTCTGACTCATGTTCCGTGTCATGTGTCACTGGAGCTCTAATGATGTGGTGGATCTGGAACAGACATTTGTTTTTACAGAAAAAGAGGAAAAAATGAATTATATGTAAGTTGTTTCTTTCCCCGAATGTCCGATAGAATGACTGGGGAGACGCTGATCTGTGCTGTGAGCTTCACTGAACCCGCTCTGGACTATGACACTGACTGAGCGAGTAAATTCTGCATAGCAGCACAATCTGCTGCTGCTGGCTCTCCTCCATAAACTACTGGTGCTGATGTTGAAGAGAGGGGAAGAAAAGGATTGGTAGGGTGGGGAGAAGAGGGGAGGGCAGGGGAGGAGAGGGAAGGGAAGGGAAGGAAGGGGGTTCCAAGATGAAACGTTTGTCAAGTTAGTAAAAGAAAGCAGGAAGTGAAGTGGTGGGCAGCAGAAAATAAAATACAACCGTTAGCTTTGTGAACGTATGAAATGAACAATAGCTATGGGGGAAAAAAATTGCATTTGTGACGTCCATTGTATTTGAACAAAGAACATTGAACAATTTGAATGAATGAATAAACAAATAAAAAACTACTCATTTAAAAATATTACAAATGTTTTGATTTAGAGGAAAATGTGAATAAAGAAAATAATGATAATTTATTATTATTATTTGTTATTATTGTTGTTGTTGTAATTGTTATTATTATTGTTATTATCATATTTTAATCAGACGTGGTGGTGGTGGTAGTAATAGTAGTAGTTTTGTAATATAAAATTTGAAGGACTTTGTGTAATCAACCTTTAATTCTGTAATAGTAACAATTGTAAAACAACAATAACTAGATTGATTATTACTCTTGTAGTTGTTGTAATTGTTTAGTTGTGTTTAGTTTGTTTGTTAGTTTGTTTAGTTGTTACTCTTTTTTTTACTATTATTACTATTTAAAGTTCGTAGTATTGGTGTGAGTAGCAGTTGTATTAGTAGCAACGGTGGTAGTAGTAGAAAACCTAATATACGCTGCGGGTTAACCGAGCTTTTATTTTCTATCACCGGAAACGCTCTGCTCACATCTGCTGACTTGACGGGTCCCAAGTTAAGTCGTGTGGGCTCTGCAGCAGCGTGGAGGCAGAAGAGGAGAGACTGCTGAGAGAGAAGCTGCTGCATCTTCATCACTGTTTCTTTCTTCATCACAGGTCGGGGGGGAAAAAACAGCCAGTCACTGAAGCTGAGGCTGCTGCAGACACTGGATCACCGCAGGCTGGACTCTTCAGACGGTGGATGATGAGATCTTCCAATCTTCTGCTCTTTGGAAAGGAGTCAAACTGCGACTGTGTAGAACACTGAGTGAGGATGGAGACTGATCTGTAGAGGAGCTCCCCCTCACCTCACATCTTTCCTCTCGTGTTTTTCCTGAGAATCCGGAGACTTATCTGTTTTCACACAGTCTTTTCCAGAGCATCTGATTTGATCACACTCTCCTGAAGAAATAACTTGAGATCAACATGGAATACCAGAGCATCCTTAGTTAAGACAGACTCATCGATCCCGTGTTGCTGGTTTTTCTTTTTATTTTAGTCTGAAGTTGAGTTTGTTATAATCCGAGAGCTGAACATGGCCATCAACACGGACGCCGACTTCCTAAAGTCTAACGTGGGTGAGGGTGGAGTGGGCGCTCCTCCAGCAGACTCCCAGGAAACGGAGAAACTGCTGACGGTTATCACGGAGCCCGGGGGCAACGGCATGAAATCTTCCACCTCCTTCACGGCCAGCGTGGGCAGCGACAAGGGCCTGGAGGCGGACCAGAACGGCCACGGCGTGGCCCTGAGGTCGGGCTCCGTGGGTCAGCTGTCCGCCGCCCCGCCTCTTTCCCCGTCTAAGGTTAGTCTGAGCCGCTCCTCTACCGGGAACGTCGGCGTGCAGGAGACCCCGATGCCCAAGGATTACCTGCTGCTGGTCATCTTCTCTTGCTTCTGCCCAGTGTGGCCCGTCAGCATCGTGGCGCTGGTTTACTCCATCATGGTAGGTTCTGGTACCTTCCGATTTAATCGTTCCTGCAGTTCGATAGAATATGAAACGGGAGAATGAGGGGAGAAAAATGAGAAACCACAAGTTTGGCAACGAAAATTGGTGAAAAAAAAACTTTATATGCAATATATTTAATAGGAATTGTTACAAAATATTTAAAATATAATTATAATTATCAGAGCCAACGTTTTCCTGATGTAACTGAACATAAATTAATGACGTCATTTGCTCAATTGTATTTTCAAGCCCAAACGTTTTCGGCATAAATTGCTGAACATATTTTAAATAATTAAGAACTGTTTTAAACTTGTATGGTTAGCTCTTAATCTGACCCTCATGCTAATCCGGCTAAGTGTCAGTAGTTAAGTTACTGTATATGTGCATGCACGGTGGATTAAAAAAAAACTACATCGGCTAATATGCTGGGGTACACGTCGCTCACTGTCACACATATTACCCCCCACCCTCCCACATACACACACTGTGTTTTGTGATTACGTTGCAAAGACATAATGCTTCCTATAACCGTTTACCCTGTCTTTAACATATATATATAATCCTAATCCTTCATATGACTCTAATCTGACCCTCATGCTAATCCTATCTCCAAACTACCTCAAAGTGCCCCCCCATACAGTAGTACATGTGTTCCCTAATCTCTTACCCTAACCTGTGCCAAATTTGAATTTTGTTTGAACGCCTCAAAATAATCTTCCTGGTGAGGACCAAAAAAATGTCCCCACTAGAACAAAGCGTCCCCGCAGCAAAGCATTTAACCAACAGCATGTCCCTACAAGTGCAGCCATACCTAAACCACACAAACACATGTATTCACTGATATTCTTTTTAGGACTTTTTGACCTTTTGGGTTTTTCTAAGTGTTGACAGAATCATATCAATAACTTACACTGTGATCATTAACTGTAACTTTAACATGAAATTACCAATTAATCCAAACTCAAACTTGAAAAATGAGAAACGAGGTTCTGCCTCATTAGTGCCAGACTTTGGTCTCTGTGAGACTCCTGGTCGTCAAAATGATTCACAATTTGTTCCAATTACTGTAAGTAACCAACTCAACTTTACACAAATATACACACACACACAGAGAGAGAGAGAGGCACACCTCATTTTACACAGATTTTCAGCAGCTGCTGCTGACAGCTGAACCTGTGGTGTTTTTTAATGATGCTAAATAATGTTTTTTTTTTCTGACAATATTTATGACACAATTTCACTACTACCGTACCTTTGCACCTGCCGACGTGTCAGGCCAGACGGTGGAGACATGTGACGCTGGCTGAAAACTGACACTGTCCCACTGTCACCCTCTGCAGTGCTCACAGGTCTGCAGTGCAGGGAAAAGTCTCGGCACGGTGATGATTCTGTGATAAGAGAAAATGAGAAGGTGCTCTCAGTCTACGGTGATAACGATGCAACGGCTTTTCATTTCAGTTTGGCTGGGGTGTTGTCCAAATAAAGGGGGAATTCTGGCCAGGTTTTCTACATTTTGGCAGTGCATGCAGTAACTGGAGTGATTGATCACCACCTTGGTGGCGCTGTGCTTCATCATGTTGGTCCTTTGTCTTTATATTGGTTGGACGGTTGAAACAAAATTGTGTAATTTTTCTTTGGGAAAAAGGAGAAAATCAGACGTCTTTGGACAACAACACAGAAGAAAAAACTCCCTCTTTTTTAATTTTTAGCAATAAGTTTAGATTACAAACAGAATTATGTTTTATACGCGTGAACAAATTCACAAATATTCAACTGGTCTTGCTCTAATCGATTGGTGATGTGTTGACAACATAAATAACAAATGAACGGATTATAGTAGCAGTTAAAATAGTTTCAGTGAGCTACTTTATAAAAAATAAAACTAATCTAAATTACTACATTACATTTTAATGGCCTTGGCATGACAGGATTTTTTTTTCTTTTTTTTTTTTTTTCATTCAACAGATATGATGTACCCCAGCCGAGCCTCTTGTGTGTATGTGTCTGTGTGAAAGTATCCGGGCAGGGGTAGCGGAGGAGGGTGATCAGCTGGTGCAGCGGCTGTAAATCAGACCTCTGACAGACGTTTGCATTAAGCTCTGGTCTCTCCTGCAGTGTTCTAGCAGCAGTCTTTAAGTGCCATCAGTGCTACTTCTGTTGTGTCAGGCCTTTACTGTAACCTCTGTTGGCTGATGGCCACTTAGTAGTTATTGACAGAGCCATTTGTGTTTTTTCGACGCGCTTTACTTCTGACACCGTACGGCAGCGGACCTACATTACAGGGGTGGAGGGGACAAGGCGGTGAAGGGGGCTGAATGCTGTAATGCCATTAGTTTTGTAGCCTCAATCCTGTGGGCAACTACACACCAAAGGGAAAATCAGGAAGTGTGCTCTGGGACGGCCCGCAATTAAGCGAACCAACATCCTGAACCCACTGACAAAAGAGCCACTCGGCTAATGGGAGGCAAACCACGTGCTGGTTCGTGTGGCAGATATGGAGAGATTTGGACAGAGGGCAGGAGAGGGGGGAGCGGAGGGGGGAGAAACTAGAGCTGGTCACTAACTCAATAGAAGGCGAGAGAAGTCAATTTGGTTCCTCTGCAGAGGGCAGATTGCAGCAGTTAGATGTCTCCGTGGCAGCGATCAACATCCTCTCTCTTTCCTGAGGGTATGGAAATGGGATATGGCCCTAACAGAGGAGATAAAAACATCTTTTGCTGCAAGGGCAGATGAGTGCGAGAGAGAGAGAGAGAGAGAAAATGGCCATAAAGTAGTTCCTACCACTGGATTACAGGCAGGAATCAGATCTCACACCACAGTGATGTCAGTGATAAGTGCAGGTGAGTCAGAGCAGGAAAACCCACGTTTACAGCAGCTGTGAAGGAATGAATGAGAAAGTAAAGTGCCCAGGTCGGCAGCAGGAAACCCTAGAGAGTGAGGTCATCACTAAGTGCTGATATTCTCTGGAATATGGACTCTTCGGGAAAGTTGAAGGAAATTTGCTGTTAGTACCCTAAGCAACACTGGGGTGAAATATCTGAAATTCGATTTTTATAACGACCAATAATACTAAGGATTTTATGAGTCTGTGTTTTTACAAAGGCACATGTTTTTTTGGGTTTTCAGCACCGCAGAATTAGCCAACTTTATTTACATCAACATTTTTTTCAATCACTCTTTTTACACACTGACCGGCTGTAGAACATCTACTCACCTTCCATTGGTTTTATGGTAGATGAATGCACAGGTCCCACACTTGTGTAAATTCTTGCGTAACAGCAGATGTGCTTCAACAGGCCGCCCCTTGGAGGCGCCAAGTATGTGGTTCCTCTTGGGGTGACAATTGTTGCCGTTGTCATGCTTTCTCACAGATTGAACTCCATCGGATGATTTTCTTATGCAAAGAACAATTAAAAAAAATTCAGACAGAACCAACTCTCTGACATAAAAGGATTAACTAGAGAACGTGCGAGGGATTTCATTTGTTGGTTTTATACCTGGATTTTTGGTCTTGGAACATTCTGACTAACTACAGGAAAGTCTTGTCAGAACCACTTGACTGAGCCTTGAAAAAGATTCCGCCGCTTTGTGAATCACACATTGTAGAGCGTAGAGCAGTTGATGTACCATCTATCCATCATCCTCCACCACCACTGCAGCAGGAGCGCCTGGAACTCACCATCCAGCTGGCCGCTGCCACAGAACTCTGACAGATGTTCTGGTTGGAGGGGCTTGTGCCTGGCAAACGCTAGAGATGTGCAGTCAATTACGGGGATTGGAGCGGCAGGGGTAATAGGTTTTTACTGCCCTCACCAGCCTATCCCGGTAATGGGAAGGTCCAAACTGCAAGAGCGATATTGCACGCTCGGCAGATTTGCCTGTGAAATATTGTCTCACAAGGATGCACTGGATGGCTGAGTGTGTGTATGTGTATGTGTATGCGTGTGTGTAGGCAAATTACTTCTTATTAGCAATCTAATACTGTAGCCAGCCGCAGCCTTATACTGCTGTTGCTAATAATATGAGGGGCTATCGCTGCGCTACAGCCAGAAAGACCCGAGACTGAGCTGAGATTACAGGAGAAAACATGGTGATTTATACACAACATTAACCTGCGGGAAGGTGGAGGGTCGTCATTCAGGGGTGGAGAACACTGAATAGAACATGGATAACACTGTCACGGGGTAATAAGTAATAACATCGAAGTGTCTATGAGGCAGGGATGAACGCTGTCTGTGGGCAATAAACCTGAGACAATCGAAAACAAAACTGACAGATCCATGTTGTTAACATGCTAAGTTTATAACACATGATATTACTGCCGCAACTTTATGGGGTTTCAACACCAGGGGTCTTCAGTGTTTCTAGGCCATGAACAAACTAATGGAGGGATTTGACCAAAAGTCAAATACATCAACTGCAATTTATCCATTTGTTACAAGATGTTAGGTTGACCATAATGTACTGAGATTTAATTAAAACATTAAATATTGTCTAAGCAACCAAGAAATTTCATGACCCTTCTGCAGTACATCCATGGACCACTTAGGGGTTGCATACCTCCTTTTGAGCACCTGTGTGCTATACTACAACGTCAGACAAAAAAAAAAAAAGCTGTCTTCCACAGAACAGATTATGTTTCGATGGTGAGGAGATACGGTTGAATGATTGACATTGATGATAGCTTGCTGTATCAGTAACTTTCCTCCAAACCGGACTGTAACCTAAAATACTGACAGCAGGCTTCATTAATAAGACACTGAAAATAATGATAGGAAACGCAATGGAACAGTGGTTTGTACACTTGCCTTACAGCCATAAACATCACAAGGTCTTCCATGTGTCTTCCCACAATCCCAGACAGAAGAAACTCACTAGAGTTGCATTAAGACAGGACTCTACTTGTCAATCTGTTATCTGTTGGATGGATAGATGGATAGATGGATAGACGGATAGACAGATAGACAGA